CAGTTTCTTTTATATCCAAGTAGATATGCTATCCCTTAGACCTATTTCATTTGTTTTGTAGTTGAATCTCCAGCATGGCAGAAAATCCAATGTTTTAGCAGGATATAATTAGACAGTGCCTTGATCAACAGTCTAAATCACTTTCTCACGGAAAGCCAATTGAATGAAAGATGGCTTCATTAAGAGCTAGTGAAGGAAAGTGGAAATCTGGTAATTCGCCCGTGTATATGCTGTTTACGAGCATGAAAAAATAGACGCAGATTTAATAAAAAATCAACTAAGAAATCAAATCACTGAAGTGGCCACGGTCCGTGGAGTAACTCTTTAAGGTTTACTGGGGGTGGGGGGAATTAACTGGCATTAGATCTACACCACGCTTTTAGGTGGTGCTCATATTAATGTTTCTCACTGTAATGGGACTAGGAAGCTGAAATTACCCTGAAATGCTTTTCCATGTCATTATTGTTCCTTAGGACAAGCTGTTAATATTTGTCAGCTTATGACTTAATGTTTCATAAACTTTGATTTGCTTGTGTACATCAAGCTATGCATGTTGACATCAAGCTCTGTGCCTGTTCTAAGGAATAAAAAAGGCACTCTGTTTAGAGAAAGCTCTATAAACTTTAGAATTATGTTCCTATGGATTTCTCATTAAATCAGGTTTGTAACTAAATATCACAGGGCCCTGGTGCAAGAACTGATAAAGGGCCAGGCTAAGTAGTCATTTGAGAACGGTTTGACAAGTGACCTGGGCTCCACTGATCATTAGTTGTCAGCTCCTTTGGAACCTTTGGGAAGAGGGGGAGAGAAGAGAGCCTTGAGAGCCATCCAGAGATTACCATCAGCCTCAGCCAGCACCTCCTGAATCAAGATCCCACTGGACCCCGGGGAAGCCACCCTCCTGCAACCAAAATGTTTGGAAAGGAGGGTAAAGCTGTGTAAATTGTTACTTTTATGAGTGTGTGTGTCAGTGTGTATATCTGTGTGTTCAGTGTGCATATGTGTCTTTTTGTATCTGTGTGTATGTGTGTTAGTGTCAGTATGTGTGTGGCACTGTATTTGTATATGTGCATATATACCAGCAGTCAAATGCCAATATTACACCTTTGCATTCAACATCAACACTACAAACAAATATACCCCTGCATTCAAACGCCAACACTTTATACAAGCACACCCCTGTATTCAAATGCAAACACTATACACAAAGGGTGCATACAGCAGCAAAATCACAAACTGAGTCATTTGGTAAAAGTCACATCTAAAAGAGAACCAATTATATAACTAAAATCTAAACACACCACTACAATCAAATTGCAACACACACATACACACACATGCCAATACTTAACACAAAAACACCTGCATTCACAATTACATGCTTACATTAAAAAACACAAACACTTTTGCAGATACAACATAGCAAGGATGGGCAAATGGTAGATCCCAATCCCAGGGATTTGTAGTTAAGGATGTAACCTTTGGTAACCCTTGCCCTAGAAGAGCACCCCAAAAATGTCTTGCACTAGGGCCATCCATGCATGCATTAGTTCTATCCCTGTTGTGCCACCAATCCTATGAGATGTGTTCATTCTTTGACAATGAATGAACTCAAACACATGAGGGATACTAATCAAAGGGTAAGCAGAAATGTGAAGAAACATGCTCCTCCTACCCATGCATAGCCAGCATTATATAACAGTATAAAGGTGTTATAATACATGTATATACATTTAACAAAAAAAGCACAGCAGTGTCATTAACCTCCTTCATAGAGCTTGGTCAAGATGGAAAAATGCTGTTATTTTTTTCAGCTCTGCTATATTTTCTGGTAATTCCCTTTTGTTTCACCACAACTTTGATATATAGCAATAAACAAAATGTTTTAGTAGCAATATTAACATAAGATTTCTTTTAACAATAGGTCAAACAGCAATTTTGTGTAACGATTGCAGATCATGGATTCCTAAAGAACAATACTGTTTGTGGGGTAATATAATGTATACATGATGCTCCTGACATGCTCATGTATGCTCATGTATGCTTGGCTATCTGTTGGGCATTTCTTCCAAACATACACACACACACAGACAAATACACAGATACACATAGATCAACACCCTTGCACACAGCTGCTAGGACTCCTTTTCACATTCTTGAGCATCTTCCAAATGTGAAAGTAAGGGAATAAAAAAGGGACATAATATTGATAGCAGCCATGGACAGGCAGTATCTACTAGAAAACTGGGCAAACTGACACTCATGGCTACATAAATACAGGGTCCAGGATAAACAAATTACACGGAACCTCCAGAGGTATCTCAGAACCTCACCCTAATTATAAAAGAAAATAGGCCATTTTCCTTGTCATAAGGAGAGGTGCAACCTAATTTAATTTATGATACCCACACATATTATTTACCGTTTTTCTCACCATTAAATGTTCTTTCTAAAGATACCATTATTTTCATCATATCACATAATTTACTATAAAAAACAATTATAAAATATGATGAACAAATGTAAATAAAACACTTTTTCAAACTTTGACCCCCAAAATCTGTTACGCATCTACAACCGCCAAAAAACACCCATGCTAAATAGTTTCTAAATTTTGTCCTGAGTTTAGAAATACCCAATGTTAACATGTTCTTAGCTTTTTTTTTGCAAGTTATAGGGCAAAAAGTACAAGTAGCACTTTGCTATTTCCAAACCATTTTTTTTCAAAATGAACACGTTACATTGTAATATTGATATCTGTCAGGAATCCCTGAATAACCCTTCACATGTATATCTTTTTTAAAATAAGACAGGCTAAGGTATTAGACCTGGGGAGTATTGACTCTTTTCATGCAACCATTTTACCAGCAATCTATGCCAAAAAAAAAAAAAAAGTTATTGGTGATTTTTTTGACACACATGGCAATTTAAGAATACATGTACTGAGAACTGTAAGGATTACTGCCAAAGAACACCCCAATATGTGTTCAGCAACATCTCCCGAGTACAGTGATACCACCCATATATAGGTGTGTCAGGTTCTTTGGGGGCTAAAAGACCTTATTTGGAGGATGTGCATCCAGTTTTCCAACTTGGAATTTTAACAGCTGGTCATCATGCACCCATGTCCTATTTGGGACATTTTTGAAGCCGGCCAATGTAATTTACCCCATCAAACCATATATTTTTGAAAAGTAGACACCTTAGGGTATTTTTAAATAGAGGGATTTTAACATTTTCCATGCACTAATTCTACCACCAGTCTTTGTCAAACCTTTGAGTAGTCATTTTTTGTGTTATTTTTCTCTCACATTGTGTCACGTATTCATCCACTTATAAAAATGTGGTTAATGACATTTACTGTCCACACAGGAAAAGTTGTGCCGAGCAGCAACCTAATCCACAGAAGGGTTTAATGCTGAGCAGCAATTATGCAAATGAAACCTGGTAACTGACTTTGGGGTCAAAGGCCGGTTACAGCCTATCAGATCTAGAGAAGGGGTACTTAGGCCCAGTTCTCATCCTGCTCAGTGCCCTGTCATGGTTTCCTTTGTGGTTGTCCAAGAGCGCGTTCCTGTTTATAGTTTTCTACCTGGTTTTTGACTTTGGCTTTGTTTATTGACTTCTCTATATTCTGGTATCCTGACTCCTGGCTTTCCTCATCGCTGCATCCCTTTCTGTGTTCCCTGACCTCGGCTAGTATTCTATGTAAGTTAAATCCGGCCATTCTAAGGACCGGTAATACGTTACTTATTTGTCATCCGTGCTATACAGTTCTACGTGCTGGATCAAACAGTAATACTGACACATTGTACTTTACGTATGGATTCTCAGTTCCTGTTATGTGTTACTGACAAAGAACACCCCAATATGTGTTCAGCAACATCTCCTCAGTACATTGATACCACCCATGTATAGGTGTGTTGGGTTCTCTGGGGGCTAAAAGACCTTATCTGGAGGGTGCGCATTCCAGTTTTCCAACTTGGAATTTTCACAGCTGGTTATCATTTACCCATGTCATATTTGGGACATTTTTGAAGCCGGCCAATGTAATTTACCCCCGTCAAACCAAATATTTTTAAAAAGTAGACACCTTAGGGTATTTTTAAATAGAGGGATTTTAACACTTTCCATGCACTAATCCTACCACCAGTCTTTGTCAAACCTTTGAGTAGTCATTTTTTTGTGTTATTTTCCAATCACTTTGTACTTAAGTCATGGATTCTCAGTTCCTGTTATTTGTTACTGACAAAGAACACCCCAATATGTGTTCAGCAACATCTCCCGAGTACAACAGTGCTGACAAAGCTTTTATTGCTTTTTGCAAACTTACAGAGGTCAAATGTAGGGCTTTCCCCTTTTCCATGTTTGCACATTGAAATTTGGCAGATTGGTTTGCTGGGCCCATGTTGCCTTTGAGGCCGTATAGCAGCCCAGAAATAAAAATTAACCCCATCATGGCATACCATTTGTAAAAGTAGACAATCCAAGGTATTCAAAATGGGGTATGTCCAGTCTTTTGTAGTAGCCACTTAGCCACAAACGTTTGCCAAACTTAGTGTTCATATGTATTTTTTGCATTTTTTCCCACAAAAACTGCACTTTTACTTGTGATTTCATTGTTGTGATAAGTTTTACTGTTTTAAACACTGATATTTGTGTTCAGCAAAGTCTCCCAAGTATAACAATACCCCTCATGTACAGGTTTTAGGGTGTTTTGGAAAGTTACAGGGTCAATATTGGGCTTGCCCAATTCAGTTTGCCAGATTGGTTTGCTGGGTCTGTGTTGCCTTTTGAGAGCATATGGTAGCCCAGGAATGTGAAATAACCCCATCATGGAATACCATTTTCAAATGTAGACAACCCAGGGCATTCAAAATAGGGTATTTCCAGTCTTTTGTAGTAGCCACTTGGTCAAAGTTAGCGTTTTTAGTTGTCATTTATAATTTTAATTTTTTCTTCAATGTATCTCTCTCTCTCTCTCTCTCTCTATATATATATATATACACACACAATACGTGTGTGTGTATGTATGTATGTATGTATGTATATATATATATATATATATATATATATATACACACACACACACACACACACACATACATGTAATACGTGTGTATATACACTTTTATTTCCTATATATGTATAATATATTATAATTAAAGCATTTTATAATATATTATACATATATAATGCATATATATGATTTCATTATAAGTGTATTTTGAGATATAAGTGTATATCATACATCTCAAAGTACACTTATAATGAAATCATATATATGCATTATATATGTATAATATATTATAAAATGCTTTAATTATTTTGTAATATATTATACACATATAATGTATGTATAATATATTTAGTTGTTAGGTTGGTTTTTTTTGTTTGTTTTTTTACCTTTTAGTAGCCTGGGGGACTGCCTAACAGCTCAATAGCTCAATAGCGTCCATTAATCTTACTCAAACTGGGATACACAGGCCTTCCAACAGTCCCAATTTTGGCAAAACAGGGCAGTCCCTATTTTTGGGTCCTGCCCGCCATCCCAACTTTTGTTGTCCCAGAAAGTGCAGTCCAGTGTCCAGTGAAATGAATAAAAATGCTCTCTATATGGTCCAACCATTGTGGGTAATGCCCCAAGTAATTGACAGTCTGTCATGAATTAACGCCAGGCTCACCTGACTATTATTTGGGCAGACTGGTCCACTTTATAGGTGACGCAATATGTATCACTGGTCCACCCCCTTTCGCCCTGCTGTCTAGTGTCCCACGTCACTGTATGTTGATGTTCGGTGGTATGAATATATACACGTTATTACAGTATATTACCACATGGTGATGATTTTGGGACAATGCAAATCACAATATGATGTCATAACCTAAATCTAGTGACCTTGCAACTCACAGTATGATTTTGAAATCTAAATTATGTATTTTATGACAGTAGTTTTGTTGAGGATAAAGTTTAACCAGTCATAGATGTATTTTGCTGCTACTGATGCACATCATAGAACAAAAAGACCTATAAACGTAGTGAGTTTTTTCCGCTGGTAATTTACCATGGTAACATTAACTAATAGATAGCTTTTATCATTCACAGTGATAAAAGCAGGAAACAAACCTATAATGTTAGTCAGGGCCATACTGGCCCACTGGGAAACAAGATCATTTCCCAGGGCCACTGAAGCTGGTGCTGGCAGGGTGCTGCTGTTGGGGTAATAAATTTGCTGGGGGGCTCCAAGGAGTGATATCACCTAGTCACTATTTGTGATGCACAGAGTTTAAGGCCACTAGAATACAGCATGCTGTCATATCTCGGTGGTCGACACTCTGTGCAGTGCGCTCCCCTCCAGCCAGTTACTTCTTGAAGCATGACCGAGCGCAAGTGCCTCTTAGCTTCAGCGCAGCCCAGCAGAGCCCAGCCTTTTATCGCCTGCCCAGCCTACTACCGCCCATGGAGCCCAGCCTCCTACTGACTGCCCAGCCTCCCACCCCGGTGTATACCGCACATCGCGGCTGGCGCTCAGTGATGGTCTTGTGCTACAGGAAGGGACTCCACAGAGCCGGACACCATGTCCCCCAGGGTCACAGATTGAACAATGCGGTACAAATACGTAATTGTGACTGTCTGTGTATGTATGTATATCTCTGTATGTATGTATATATGTGTCTGTATGCCTGTATGTCTCTGTATGTCTTTATATGTATATTTCTGTATGCTTGTATGTCTCTGCATGCCTGTATGTATGTATGTATGTGTCTGTATGACTTTATGTCTGCCTGTCTCTGTATGTTTCTATTTGCATGTATGTCTTTATATGTATGCGTGTATGTCTCTGTATGTGTGTATGTCTCTGCCTGTATGTCTCCATGTGACTGTGTCTGTATGTCTCTGTGTAACTGACTCTGTATGGCTATATGTCTCTGCCTGTGTGTCTGTATGTCTCTGCCTGTATGTCTATGTGTCTGTATGTCTCTATATGATTATGTCTGTGTTTGTATGACGGTGTACCTGTATGACTTTGTTTGATTGTGCGCCTTATATGACTATGTGCCTGAAAAACGATACATTTGTGTCTTTATGGTTGTGTAAGTATATATGTATTTTTGCCTGCATGTCTATGTCTACATGGCTTAGGAGGAAAGACACACAAAGGGATCTGGTTGGGAGGGATACACAAAATGGACTAAAGGGAGAAAGAGCCACATAAAGGGACTGTGGTGGAGAAGGACACAAAGAATGGGGCTGGGGGAGAAAGAGACAGGAGAAAGGGGGGAATAAAATACACTAAAGCACAAAAGGGGTAATGCATTCAAAAGGATAGGAAACTAGAGAGGGTAGAAGACGCTGGAGAAGACACTGGATGTCCATAGGAAAGCATTGAGTAATGCTTTCCTATGAGCGGTTTGAATGCGCGAGCAGGCTCTTTCCGCGCATGCCCATTCGGAGCTGAGAGGCGGATCGGGGTGGAGAGATCCCCAGCGTTAAGGGAGCCCGGTGCTGGAGGAAGGTAAGTGCTGAAGGGGTTTTAACCACACATACACTCTCACGAACAGACGCATACACACTAGCTAACAGACACACACATTTACTGACAGACACACACACTCAGTGACAGACATACATACACACTCACTGACAGACAGACACACATACACACTTACTTACAAAACATACACTCTCACTGACAAACACCAAACAGAAACACACTAACAGACACACACAAACTAACACACACAGTAACACACTCACTGGCACACACAAACTGACCCTCAATAGCAGACACACACTCAATAACAGACACACACAAACTAACACACTACTAACACACACAGTAACACTCACACACACAAAAAAACTAAACACACTCACTAACACACTAACAGACACACACTCAATAACAGACACACACAAACACACAACTAACACACTCAGTAGCAGACAGACACACACACACACACACACACTAACACACATATAAACACACTAATTTTTTTTTTTTTTTTATTGAATCCCCCAGCCTCCCTACTTTTGGGAGTGCTAAGGGGATTCCCTGGGGTCCAGTGGTGCTGCTGGGCGGCCGGTCACTGCGGGCGCGCGAGGGAGCATTCTCCCCTGAGCGCTCTTATTCCGACTCCGGCATCAGTGTGGTGCGCACGAGGGAGCTGGGCAGAGAGTGCTCAGGGGAAAATGCTCCCGTGCTCGCTCGGTGACACCACTTCTAGCCATTAGGGGCCCTGAGGTGGCCAGCTCCTGGGCCCCCGAGGAAAAGAGGTTGGCAAACTGGTGTACATACCCGGTCACAGGGCGGCCGGGCCCCCCGGCGCAGTCTGCAAACTCGGACACCCTACAACTCAGATCGCAACAACTCCAGCAAATGGCATACCACTTAGAAGACCTCGACAACCGAGGCAGAAGACAAAACATTAGGATCCGCAGGGTACCAGAGGTGGATGACAATACCCCAGTACAGACTACCCTAATGGGCATATTTAACAACATCCTGGGACACCCCGCACGGAACCCGATCGACATGGCTAGAGCACACAGGGCACTTAGACCGAAAGGCCCGGCCGGGAGCATACCCCGGGACATCATATGCTGCGTTACAAATTTCCAAGCGGGCAAAGTGCTCTTAGAAGGCACGGAGATACAACTATACCCTGACCTTTCGCCAACCACATTTCGCCAACCACAGACGGGCCTTACACCCCTTCACCAGGAAATTGCAGGTGAACAAAATAAAATACAGCTGGTGCTTCCTGAACGGACTCCAGGTCCACACGCCTAAGGGCCCCTTCGATATCAGGGAGAGAGCAGACATGGACGCTCTCGCAAGAGAACTACAGATCACGCCGGCTCACTTACAGTGGCCAGATCCCCTGACACTCTACACACCCGCCCAGGGTCAGTAGAACCAAGCCGCAGGACCTCGCATCCCGGGGACCACCCGCCAGCAAGCAACAGGCCCCCAATGCCACTGAAACAGCAGAACCAATTAAGGAGCCTAACCTACGCATACAGCGCTTGACACTCATCCCACTCTTGAGAGACTCGCATCCAGCCTGCCTGGGTTACTAAACCCTGCAACGCCAACACGACAGCAGGAGCTAAAAGCACACCCCCGTTAACAACATAGCATGGACATTGATACTCACAGCGAACTCCTTCCCCCGACCTCCACGCAATCACCATGACCGAGACCCCCGAGTTGACACTCGGCATGGAACTCAACTGCTTAACCACCGAGCTCCTCTATCACCACAGAATCACCTGCCCTAACAGAACGGACATCAGCCTGGACACCCTTTAAAATTGGGCACGACAGTGACATACCTGAATACCATGGGACTATTATAACATTGTTGATAAACGCAAGTACAAAACCACACAGGTCACACGACCCATGGGACCCCACCATAAGCACGACACATAGACGTGGGGGGGAACTTAACCTGGGGGAGACGTACTGAGGGATGGGGGGGCGAACAGATCAGATTGTGAAACAAACATTGCCTCCCACAAATATGACACGGGCTACGGGGGAGGGAGAGGGGAGCTGGGGACCGAACCGGGCAATTGCACTCCCCTCACGAGCCTGTGATGACCTGCCCGGGAGCAGGCGGGGGGGCGAGGGCCAGGCTCGCTCAGACACACAGAAAGGGGAGATAAACACACAAGACGTGAAATGCATATCAAGACGGGAGATGAGAAAAGGGGATAGAGAGGAATACAGGCAGCTCAGCCACGCCAGGAGGGAGAACCCCTCCCCCCTGGCCAACTAACCCCGATTACAGATAATCATAGCTACCTACAGAGCCCGGAGGCGGGACGGGAGAGCCGGGCGCCCCCACATGACAATACGCATACTGAACATAGCCAAATCGACTATCCCACAATACTGGAAACAATCCATCACTTCACCCTTGAGGACGTGATTCTCACAGATGGAAGAACTGAGGTCCCTTGAGGACCTTCACACCACCACTAATGGCACGCACCAAACCAACCTCAACATTTGGACACACTGGCTACTGATGACAACAAAACCAGATTTTGTAGACAGATTATAGACCTAATGACAGAGACGGAATACGACCCCTACACACTACAGACTCA